ATCTTTTCTCCAAACTTAAACCACAAACCAAGACACCAGAATAATGAATATCATATTTTTAATTTTCATAACAAAATGACATATGATCCAAAACATGGTCTCTCACTCTGAAGGAGGAACACAGATTGCAGGTGTTTGAGAATAGGGTGCTGAGGAGGATATTTGGGCCAAGGAGAGAAGACGATGGGGTCTGGAGAAAACTGCATAATGATAAGCTTAAAAATCTGAACTCCTCCCCCAATATTGTCAGGGTGATTAAGTCGAGAAGAATGAGATGGGTGGGACATATAGTGTGCATGGATGGGACAAGAGGTGTGCACTGGGTATTGGTTGGGAAGCCTGAAGGGAAGAGACCGCTGGGGAGACCTAGACATAGATGGGAGGATAATCTCAGGCGGGATCCGTGGGAGATAGGAGTTGAAGGAGACTGGATTTTATTGGCCCAGGTGGAAGGCTTTGGTTAATTCGGTGCTGAACCTTCAGGTTCGGTAAGCCATCTAGTTAGTGACATACGATCACAAGCAGTATATACCTGCATTATCCAGGGGTGATTTGGACCAGCCTGGAACAAAATCTCTCGTCCACCTGCTCCACAAGCCTCCAAGTTAATGAATGCTCTTACTTCCTTTGCCCATTTGTGTTGAGTTATGAAACCATGGGATGCCTGCATTACACAAATCATTCCATGGAACATTTGAGAACAGATAATGAATCCATTTCTTTCATTATTACAACTGCAAATACACCAGCACTGCAATAAACTTTTAAAGAAAAACTCACTGCACAAAGAAGTAATGTACAAAAAGTAATGTAATCTGAATAAAATCTTCTTGTATGCATGCACATACTTTTAAATGAAACTCAACTGATCTGAGGTAAGGCATTAGTGTGTGATGCTGACTACTTACCTCTTTCTAGGGGTGAGCTGTAAGTCTTCATGATGTAGTTCTTAATTATCAATGAGGATGAATTTACCAAACACAATATAAACTGTGATATATCACCTGCATCAGATTTTCCTCTGCACCATTGAAGAGAAGGATTAAGTTGTGTTTCAGTGGTTGCTCCATCTGTGTGATGACATGGAGAATCTCCAGCATTATAGCACAGCTGGCTCCATCATCACTGCCTCCTGGAAACAAATTTAAAAAATTAAATGACATTTAATCATACTTAGCATAGGAAATGTGTACTTCAGATATTTCAATTCCAAAATTACCAAACAGATTTAAATTAAATGAATTATTTGGTAACCACATCAAAAACTATGAAAACAATTTTGTTTAAATTAGTTCACTACAATACCAACTACAAATGAAGCTCAAATTGAGCTTTATCAAACTTCTCTAAAATGGAAATTCACATAAATTATTGTTACACAATGCAAAATATAGATCTCACTTAAGTCTACAATTCTTAATTGAATTTTTCTTTTATTGTAAATGTTTATTTATTTATAGTTCATTTAATTATAATTTCAGTATCTCAGACTATAGAGTATTGAATGACAGCATGATAGAGAATAATGAATTCGAAAGGAAGTGATCGTGATGTAATTTAAGGTACTATATCGGAATGTGGCTGGATAGACTGAGGAAAACCTGTAAGGATACCTGGTCTCTGGGCCAAGAGTTAAATCCGGGACCTCCCAAATATGAAGCAGCAAACGTTCAACGGAATACAAGAGAAAATAATTTCTGACAACAAAGTAGAATCTGCAGTGTTATCTGCTTTTCAACAGCAGGTTCCTATCAGCACAAATATATTTTTATCTGCAATGAACAAATCAATAAAACTGCAACAGCCACTTCAGATGTTTTGTGTGAGGGGGGATTGAAAATCGCTTATTATGTTTCTTCATTTGTCAATATGCATGTAAAAGGGCACACAGTTCTGACTGGTTTTGATGAAATTTGGTACAGTGGACTTCCACAAAACTGCATCCAGCCAATTTAATTTTTATTCTATTTTGATCATTTTTAGGTCCACTCCACTTAACCTTTATTGTCTGTATGTTACAACTGACCTTGCACTGCACTTGCATACCATTAACCGCTGTTAACCCTGACGTTTGTCTGGTGAACAACCTCTTGGTGCAGGGAATTAAATCCCTTAATCCTGAACTAAGAATGTTATGGACCTAAATTAAGTTAAAATTTTGGATATTACCCATCATCTGTTGTTTGAAAAATTACCCCTAGATTCAGCAAAATACAAACCCAGTATCTGGCTCATGAATTTCTCAGCCATATCAACAGTTTCAGGTCCTCCATTCAGTTTATTATGGAAATGGAGTGCCTTTTCTAGACGTATTAGTCACCAAAAAAGGGGACTACATTGTCAACTCAGGTCTAAAGGAAACCCACACACACTGGATGCTACCTCAACTTTGAATCCAAATATCCACCCTAAAGAGGGTAGTCATCCACAGTTTGGTGAATAAAGCAAGCATAATTTGCCAAACAAACAAAGCATTTATCAATGAGGCTCATAACATAAGACATGAATTGGCACTTAACGGGTATCCCTCATACTTTGTTGATCCCATCATTAACAGACCTGCAGCAAAAAGTCATCCAGATACAGATACAACTCCACTTGGCATGGTGGCCATTCCACACGTAAAGGGAGTGCCTGAAAAGTTCAGATTTCTTGGGAATAAATATAAATGCTCTTGTAAAAACCAGACCTGAAAGAGATCTACTATACACTACATGCTGTGTTTACAGTATACCATGTGAGTGTGGCAGAAATTACATTGGAGAAACAGACAGACAGCTGACAGTATACATCAGAGAACACCACCATAATTTCAAGCAGGGGTTGGTAGAAAAATTCAAGCTAGTAAAATATGCCCATGAAGGATGTCGGATTAACTGGAAAGAGGCCACGATTCTAAAAATGGAATTCAATTACACTTGGAGAAAATACAAAAAAAAATCGGTCCATATGGCACATGAAAACAAACCAATAAGTCAACCTAGCCTGGAAATGTCACCTATATCATTATCCTCATCAATAAGGAGACCAACAAATCACAGGGCAGTTATGCTGAACTAAGTACTCCAGTTTTAGGGTGATTTTGGAATATTCTGTCACCAGTCAATCATTCTACATTTGACCAAGAGAGGACATTACATTACAGGCAGTCTGTATATTTAGCAGTAATTGCGGCTGGAACTTTGGCTGTTTAAGAATTTCTATATTTCGGTTTTGTGGATTCTAATTAGGACTAACAGAGTTCTGTTTCAAGCTCCTCCATGACTTTGGAATTTTTATTGAAGTTTTAATTGTTGATGTATCTGGTTTGGACTTCAATAGGTATCCAGTGATGGAGATTAGCTCCTTCTAAGAAATCCCACAGAGTAGAAAACTCTCATTCCTCTTATTTTATATGATAATGTAGGCATACCCAGTCTCTGGAACATTGTGTTATGAGAAACAACAAACGATGGACAATGTCTAAAATTTTAACCCAAACCATGAACATAATGATATGATCCATACATTTCCTGCAAGACTTGTGATGGTGAATATGAAGAAATAACTGCAAAGCATATAAAATCTCAAAAAAATTTCCATCTCGATACAGAGAGCTTCTTTCTCAAAACCTAACTCAATGTGTCACTTAATACAGAATTACACAGTAGGCATGAGGGCAAAAAATAATTTATATTCCGGGACTAAAATATCACAAAATAAGTCTTACTTAAAAATGCTCCATCAAATCACAAACTTCACGTAACTAATGTTTAATTTTCGTTTCTGCCTCAAAGAAAACACAACACATCTCCATAATAATAATCAATTTGTTAATGCTATTTAGGACAGTAATCACTGTTTATTACAAGGATTGTAACAATCATAAATACTCTATGGGCAAAATGCAGTTTTGTTAAATGCTAAAAGTAAATGTTACATTTTGTTATCACCGTGACTTATATGTTTAAGCTTTGTATATGTAGTTTTATTACACCTCTTGTTTATACATTCTTTAATGACAACCTGTGTGTAAATAAGATATTACTGACTAGATAAGAGTATTCAAACTGCAAGATACAGATAAGAAGAAGCATGCCATGCCACGCCTCATTTCCAGAATTTGAGGTTCAACAAAGATCATTCAAGTTTATGTGGCCACCACACTGATACCATTCAACATACAAATGACTAAGTTCTGAAAATGTATCTACCAACTTATTCTTCATATGTTATGAGCACAACTGCTTGCTGATATCTCAATGTGATTTTAATAAAACTGTTCCAACTAATCTTGACCCAGCTGTATAATTACAATGGAATTACAGTATTTCATAAAAGCACCTCAAAACATATCAATCTCTTTACTGAGGACACCTCTGGGATGTCAGATATGGCCCCCACAGACTCCTCTCTGACAAACACAAACCTGTCAGTTACCTTAGTTTTTAAATAAATTGAGATATTCATTCAGTGCTTAAACAGGACTGAAGACTAAGTAAACTAAACTATACTTGTCACAACATGTCTCCAACCTTCACTGACCATTATAAATATACACATTGGTGGCTAGCCAGCTAAAGAAAAGGGGAGAAAGAATGAATGGCATGTGATAGTATACAGCGTCTTGTTTCATCCTGTCCTTTCTAACTTCCCTTACCCTCTTACTGTGATGTCCAAGTTCGCAGACATTTTGTGTCCAGTATAATTAATATACTAATGTAGACCTGTACAAATCACAGGCACAAGGTTGCCAAAGTACCCAGAATTTTCTGCGTAATATTGTCATGGTTTTGTAGATTTGTATATTATTATACAACATTTGTATATTATTATATAACATTTTTACATTTAGCGTTAGAGCCCAAAGCACTAACCACACCATAATTTGGACTACTTCGATCAAATCCAGATTACCAAAACTCATATTTACTAAAGATGTAGACATAAAAACTGGGAATTACATAATTCGGTTAAAGCTACAATCAGTATTACCATGAGATAACTTGTTAAAAAATTGTATTGATGATATAAACTTATAGCAACAAGGCTGAGGGAATTGTTTACACTTGGTTCTTTGAAGATACTGTCTCTCAGTTTATAATGTACATCTAAATAAAGTGTATACCTTATCAAGACAAACATGAAACTCATTTATCTTTCAAAAAGAACACACATTTAGGCCACAAGGTCCACCTTGATCAATGTTCACAGTCACTTCAAAGATTATGACCACACAATGAATATCCAATGACAAATTATAACCATGATGTTTTTTCACAAATTAACTTTAATCTGTAAATCAATAATCCGTGAAACAAAGCAATAACATGTAACCTGTGTCATTAAAAAAAATTGTAATAACACCACTGCAAGCAACACTAATACTGCAACTCTGGACTGTAACCCTTTAACACCCAGTGGTAACTATATGTACCATCTGCTTTAACAATAAATAATACTGCACTTTTCCCACAGAGTATATTTATGGGTTTGGTATGATTCCCAGAACAAGAAGTGATTATTTCCATAAACAGAACCAACCAAATGATCTTCATAATGGAGAAGTATGTTTTATCTGAGGTAGTGAATGAATGTTTAAATATGATTTTGATGAGCTTCAGCCTTAAAGGGCTAACCCTCTCATAGCCTGAGCACTCAAACCAGCTCCTTTCTACATGACTAAAGACTGTCAAATATAATTTCCTTTTATTATGCACACTGCCATCTTTCAACATAAGAAGTGTTACATACCTATATTATATCTGGTTCTTAAGCAAATACTTTCATTTCCAGTTTTTAAAAATTGTATTACATGTTTTCCTTTAGTGTTTACTATGTGCATGTTCCTTTTTCAGAAACTAAAATTTTTATGTTACACAAAAGAATACATTTGATGAACACTGTAGCATAAAACAAACCAAATGTTGCAACATGTCACAAAAATATAGACAAAATTGTAAATAAGAGCCACGTTCCAATCAGCTTCTCTATGACTCTACTCCATAAGGTCAGTTAAACCACATTATAACAACTTGTGTAAGTATTTTAAAACAATTTTAAAATCATAAAATACAGTTGGATACCCCTAAAGGTCAGAGAAGCCAAAGCATGTCAGTGCATAATAAAAGAACAATACATTGCAACACAAAAATAGTATTTGATGGTCTTAATCATTCAGAGCATCAAAATACAATGGCATGAATAAACAAAAAATGTAAATTTGTAGGGCAAGTTTTTGACTACTAATTTATTGATCTGCTCCATGAAGACAATCAATAACATTCCTCATTTAACACTAAGTAACAAGTTGATTCAAGCACTGTCAAATAAAGCAAACTACTAACAGACACATTTTATTCAACACCAAGCAGTCTCTGCAATTGATAGTGCCCTGAAATAATCTAGGGATCAATTAGTTTCAACCAACTCGTCTCTCAGCTGTTACATTGAAATCCAATAAATAAATGTGCTCATAAAAGTTCTTGGTATGCAATGTTGCCACATCTTGCTAAGAACGTGGTTGTGACCTTATTTTTACAGGAATTACATGGATTGATTTGAGGAACAGAACACAACCCTTATATTTATCTCATGTAATTAAGTCAGTCTGTATATTGTCGAATGAGAATGATACACTAAAAAGATGAAGAAGTGGCCACAGTTTATTTTACTGGAAGGATTAAAGCAAAAAACATAAAATTTCAGCAAGATTACCAACCTCGAAGTCAAAAAATAAACCTGTCC